ACGTTCTGTACTGTCCAAATCAGTTCCTGGGTACAAGGTAGAAGAAAAAAGCCCCTGACTCGGCTTCTTTCCTGACCAGCCTTTCTCCCTGACGTAGTTTCACTTTGAGTCTGTGACTGTGGAGCTTCCGCTTGCGTGCTCCCTCGCTGTCCTGTGGTGTGCGCCCTGTCCACCTCTTCTCTCTGCTCTGTTTCCTTGGTGGCTTTTCTGTCACTTTTGGCTATGGTTTAGCTTCTGTTTTCTGTATATGTATAATTTATATATTTTTCTTTTAAATAAGAAACAGGCAAGTATGGGTTTTAAACCATTATTTCATAGGCAAAACTTTGTACTTTCTCTTTCCTTGGAGTTAAGATCATAATTGTCTCTCATTTTAAATATCCCAGCAGTTGGCATAGCTAATGCTGAACTCTAGGTTGGGTGGATGTACTGTCAGACTAAGCTGAAGTTTTGTAGTGCCTTTCATTAAGAAAGATCTGGGCTTAATCCAAGGATTATCTGAGCAATCTGCCAAATTTAGCTAAATTGAAAATAGTAAAAGCCTGTTATTTACATTTTTAGTGTAACCTTGGCAATTAGCCGATCCAGTTCTATGACAAGGATTAAAGCGTTCTTGTTAACCTTTGAGTCGGATTCTTCTCAGAGGAAGGTAGTAGGTTGTCAGCAACTATTATTTTTGACATTTGCTCTGCTCCCTCCGTCTGCCCCATCCCTTCAAAAGGTCAGATGAGAGGTGAGCAGCATCGTTTGTATATAGGGATTTAAGAATATTATAAAAGGAATAGAGTTAGCTGCACAGCTTGTTTTGGATGGTGATCGTGAAATGCACAGTTCTTTTATTCTGGAGTATATTAGTGCACAGTTTTTATTGTGGTGATGAAGGTGTGCTAAAGGAAAGTTTGAGTCAGGTGATAAAGCTTTGCCAAGGGAAGTTGTTAGATACCTTTATATCCAGCTGTGTCAGAACTGTGGTTGTGGTGAACAAGCCACAAGAACAGGTTGAAGTGAACTGTTAGCCTCCCCTCAACCTCATCAGAACACTTTATAACAGATTGTTTACCTTTGTTTTCTTGAAGTAAAAAAGCAACCTAAGAAGTTAGTGTCTTCCGTATTTTATTAGAAAATACCTTTATGTAATCAACTTAAAAATACATGTTTCTGCAGCCTTTAGCAAGAGAGTTTTAAGCTTCATTCAGCAACAGCAAGGTTTGGCTTCCAAGAGTGGCTTCAGTAGGCTGTAGTTAATGTGATTTTTGCACTTGTTTCTACACATATACTTTATGTCCTTTTTTTTAAACTAAAGATTTAAACTAGTGCTTATTAATTGAAAGCAAATGAACTCCAAAGATTAAATTTCAGAAACTTAGCCTCCATGAATGTGTGTGCTGTTGGTCTCTTTAGAGATCCAAGTGGGAGTGGCAGCCCAAAGCACAGTCATGTTAACTCTTCACTGTAAAGAGATCTTTTAGACAATGAGTCTGTTCATCATGGATTGAAAAAGAGAGAATTTTGAAATAGATGTTTTAATACAGGCTGAAAATGAGGAACTATTCAACACTATCACTGATTGCAAAGTAGTATATTTTATAATCAGCTGTGAACATTTTTAGTACCTAAAAATGTTTCACGTATTTCAGATGGGAACAGCCCATATCTAGACATAATACATTAATGTGAACATGTTTATTAAGAGTTGTCTATAAAAAGTATTAATAAGCCAGGATGTGCCTAAATGTTAGGTTACTTCAAGCTTGAAGGTCATACATACGTTTTAAAATATGGATGTTAAGAAAATGATAATGTATCTTGATATAGCTTAGTAAGATTCACTAGTGCTTGCCCTTAATTTGTAGGACAGTATTGTTTAGGTTACATTAACCTGAACTAAAAGCATAAATCGCTAGGATTCAGGCCTCTATACTACATTAGTGCTACCATGAAGGTCTCACTTAGGTTTGGCTGCTTTCCAAGTAGAGAAGTAAGGGTACTGTGAGTCTTTTGAAGTGGCTTAATTTTCTCGTCAGTAGTGAAACTTGGACATTGCAGTTGTTAGAAAAGAGCATCTCCCTCACAGACTCACAGGGTTCCGCTCCGTTGATCTTCAGCAGGGTCTACAGGCTGTCCCTTTCCTCTTCCCTCGACTCCATGGTCCAGGAGAGACCAGCTTCCCCAGCCATGCTCAGATTGGGTGTGTGAAGTGCTGGATACCAGCACGTGGCCTCTCAGTGTAGAAGTGTTGAGGCACTGTCGTAGAAAAGGCTCCAGAGCTGTCTCCTCCCCTCCTCTCCCTGCTCTCTCCCTCTTATGATCAAGATGAAGACTGTTGGATTGGGTAAGAACAATTTTAAGCGGTATAACAAAATATGATTTGAGCTTAGAAGTAAACCTAGAATTTCCTTAGTGTTCTCTTTATTATAGGTGTTTATGTCTAATGATTGTAGAACTTGAATTGCTCTAGAATGTGAATGACTAGCCTTATGTTTTATTTCCTTTGAATTTTGTTTTGTAAAGTATCTCCTGAGTAGTTCTCTCTTTAGAATATTGTGTGATTGCTTCCCCAGCTTCAGTGAAAGTTGATAGAATACTTAACTATACCAGCATCTATCTTAAAGTGCAAGTATTAGATAAGTATCTACACTTACTATAGGTACCACAGCGAAGATTTCTTAGTTTGGTGCATTGAGTGGTAGCTTTCTGCTGCTATGTCATGGCAGTCACAGAGGAGATCACAGCTGAAGCAGAGTTGGGATTACTGAAGTGCACTTCCTAGCTGTTTTTTATTTAGATGTAGAATACACAATGAGAATCTTATGCTTAGAATGTAGCAGTAACAACCGAAGGTCACGACACTGCGGGACTTCAAAGGTTTGAGCGTGTGACACTGTCTTCGTGTTGGGGGAGCAGGGTATAAAAATGTAGGAGATGTAGAATAGTTCATGATAATGTTTTATATGTATGTTTAATTTCCATGATATTTATTATTTTGTAGAGACATTTGTGATTGTTTAGTTATTGTTTTTATTATATTTATGTATAAGATTGCCTTTTCTAAATAAATAAGCCAAAAATTCTTTTTGAATGCCTCTGTCATCTTTTGCAAAGAAAGGTAATTTTAAAAATAAAGAACTTAAAAGTATTAGAACAGAGTTATTTAGGTTTGAAGGAGGCAGTGAAACATTTCGTACCTGGAATACCGTATTCAGTTAGATTCCTCTTTGGCTCAGTAACTTGGGACAGAGAAATACAAGATGCAGCTGGCCGTGTTGGAATAAAACAAGTGAATATGCCTCCTGAGCCCATTTTGTTCTTGGTCCATGCTTGATATTCCTTTTCCACTGGTTTTGACAGCAGGAAGGGGCGGCCTTTCCGGTCAAGGCCCCCACCCCTCTGGTCATTTCAGGTGCGTCTCTGCCCTTTTCCTTTATGTTGACCACACCGCTTCACTGGAACATGCATCCTTTAATCTGAAAGATAAGTGGTACTTAAACTAGGAGTGTCTGTGTTTTTTAGGTGACTAGTGTTTTGCTCATTTGAAACCTTTTTTTATGATTTGCTTCTCATAGTGAGTGTTTTTATCCTTTAGTGTAGGTTCTTTTATTAGATATGCAGAAAGTCATACAACTTGGTTTTCCACAAACATTTATGCACATAACAATGACTGGATGAGACATTTTTCAATTAAAAATGTTAAAACATTGATTTTTAACTTAGATTTTTATAGATCTAGTTTCACAACTTTGAAAAATACAAATGTTTTAACAGTCAATATATAAGCTGCTTAAAAACTTAAGTCTTGTAATAAAGCTTCACTTTGATGTTAATGGTCATTTTTCTTGGGTTTTCTCTTGGGGTTACTAGACATTTGACATTGTATTAGTCTTGCTTCAGGTTCGATATATAGATCATATTGTGCATGTAGGGAGTGTAAAGTGCTACATTTAATCTTAACACGAGATCATGTTTACAAAATTTTAAGGCTGAAACCTAAGGATTTAGTCAGCAGGGTCTGATGTTCTGAGCTGACTCCTGCCTAATTACTTCTTTCCAGAAGGTCCTCATTAGTAAGTTATCAAAGTAAAGATAAGGCAATGAATAACAATTCCTTTGAACCCACAGTAAGCTCTTCTGACACGCATTCATAGCCCTCTTCTGCCCTTCCAGCCAAAGGTCATTCCAAATGCTATATGTGGGATCTGTCTGAAGGGTAAGGAGTCCAACAAGAAAGGAAAGGCTGAGTCTCTCATACACTGCTCCCAGTGTGATAACAGTGGTAAGTATTTCAGTGTCTTCTTAAGATTTTAATCACCCTTTTCTTGCTTCAGATACTAGTATTTATCATTGTCCACTAGACTTCAGCCAAACATTCATTCAATATGCAGGGATAGCTTGTGAGGCAGTCAAAGCCCATGTATTTTCATTTCTCTTTGGTGATTAAACATTAGCCATTCTTGGGAAGTCCTGAAACAAACTAGTGTTTTGTATGCCTTATGAAGTTAAATTTCTTGTGTGAAATACTAATACTGGTTTTGATTTAGGCCACCCTTCTTGCCTGGATATGAGCACGGAGCTTGTTTCTATGATTAAGACCTACCCATGGCAGTGTATGGAATGTAAGACATGCATTGTATGTGGACAGCCCCACCACGAGGAAGAAATGATGTTCTGTGACGTGTGTGACAGAGGTTATCATACTTTTTGTGTGGGCCTTGGTGCTATTCCAACAGGTAAAGACTTAAGAAAAAACAGCAGAACAGAACATTATCTTTGAGTGCTGAGATTTTCCCAACATTTTCTTTTAAGGATGCGTAAGCACTATAATGGCATGAAGAGCCTGTAGATCCTCTGTTCAAATATGACCAAAGCTGCGATTGCCCAGGCACTGTCCACCTGCTTTTCATCCCTAGACATCCAACTGCAGGACACATGAGATGTCAGAATGTCTAGACTAAGAGTGAGCTGGTTATTTTTCTACTGAAGTATCTAAAATAACAGAACATCAGTTTGTTTCAAAGCCTTAATTTTATTTTTATAAGTCATCTATTTAGAAATATAATAAAATGACTGTTATACCTTTATACATATTAAGCCAGATCTCTTCAAGTTGAGGCAGCATGATTCCAGATAACTTTTGGATGAACACAGGATTGACTAAATCACAGTAATTGGATTCAAACATTATACACACATAACTCTAATTTTGGAATTTGCATAGTTAGCCCTAACAATGCTTCATATGTGTAGAACTGTTTCCTGGGTATCAAGAAGTGAGCAACGTACACAGAGTTGTGTAGTGATTCAGATCAAGTATACAGTGTAGTTTACTCCTGTGCAGTGCCAGCATAATATGCCAGGTCTTTATGGCAGCAGGGAGAAAAGATTTAAAAAAGCCAAATTCAGTAACAGGTTTTATTTTAGGCTTTATATTACTGAAATTTTAAATTTTGATAGTGTTTGGATTTGGGGAGGGATTCTATTAGTTTTTTAAAGGTTCATGTCATTCTGTAGCATTACGTATCCCTCCCTTGCATAGCACTGATTACAAGATTAACTTCAAAAGAAGTTTAAATTTTTTTTTCCTTAAGGAACTATTAGTGCCCTTCCCACTGAAAATGCATAGAATATGATTAGTGAGAGTTACGGAAGGAGATCTTTATCCTGTAAAAATAAAATTTGATCATATATTAACTAATTTTTTTCCTAGGTCGCTGGATTTGTGACTGTTGTCAGCGAGCCCCCCCAACACCCAGGAAAGTGGGCAGAAGGGGTAAAAACAGCAAAGAGGGATAAAATAGTTTTTTTGTCACACTGTATATCCATTTAAGTGGAATATTTGGTGCCAATTTATTTACATTTTCATTTTTATGCCAATAAAAGTTTTTGAAATTAACTGTGAGCTTGAAATCTGCAAGCTGATTTACTTTATTATAAGTTGCTCTTACTCTTGAAAGTAATTCCAGGTAGAAAAATAATTCATCTTCCAAAAGATTTATCTCAGTACTTTGGCTCTCTCGAGAAACTAAGTTGCAAAATAGAGCAATTTAATTTAGACTACTTAACTATTTCTCCATTAGCTTGAGAAACATTTATTTTCATGAAGTTTTCCTAATCTTGTATTGTTTCTGGCCTACCATAGGTAGAGTCATTTCATAACTGAAGAACTTTAATAGCCCAAGATGATAAAATGACAAATGGCCTACACTAAGTTGATGTGGCTGGGTACTGAAGTTAACTGGTGCAGCCTGCCTGCCAAGAAATCATGTTGGACATACTGTTTTAGTGCTACTCGGGCCACAGGCTTGGAGCATTCGTCTTCATTCAGGGAAGTGTAAATAAAGCATTATCTTTCTGACTTTGATTTTAGTAATGCTCAGAAACCTACACAGTAAACTTCATTTAGAACCTGTGGAGTAAAATTCTAGTTAATCAGCTTTCCAGTCTAAATCTGTGTAGCTGCATGGAATTTCGCACTACTTTATATAAACCCTAAGTTACTGGAGTTCTCTCTGTTTAATCACTCGACAAACTAATCAAAATGGAGTTTATTGAGTATATTCCTTTTATAGGAATTCTGTGTTTTAAACAAATGATTGTGCTCGCTGCTTTCCTTGTTTTCGGGTAACTGAGGTAACAGAACTCTGTATGGCTTTAGTTTTTCCATCCCTTCACTGGAAAAGGTAACCAGGCTTTCGACCGGATGAAAGTAGCAGGTTCACAACAAAGTGCAGCCAACCGCACGGTTACGAGTGAGTCAGAAAAGGATCTCCAGTACCAGCTTCAGGATGCTGATTACTATCGTCCAGAGGACGGACTCCTCCTCCTGGGGCGTGTCTTCGGGAGCATAGGGGGGCTTCTGGCCCGGCTCGGCCCCGTCCGAGTAGGCGGCCTCACCGAACGGGTACTGCTCCACGGTCCTGTCGTAATACACTTTCATCTCAAACTCGCTCTCGTGGTGCGACGGGTGTCCGTAGATGCCTATTCCCACGGGCCGCTGGAAATGGGCCGGTATCCAAACAGTGTCCTGGCCGCAGGTGACCGACTGCAGCTCGTAGTCGTCGAAACTCGGGTGGAGGGTGCTGTCGGAGACGTACAGGTCTGCGTCCCCTCTGAAGCTCCGCATCCTGAGAATGACCTTCCCCTCGTGGTTCAGCCTCAAGTAGCTGTAATTCCCGGCGCCCACCTGGCCCTGGACGACATGCAGCAGCACCCACTCTTCGGGGATCGCCTCCTCCTCCGAGCAGCCCACGGAGGCCAGGGCTTGGGCGGCCAGCAGCATCAGGAGCGCGCTCCTCCAGGGAGCGGCCCTCCGGGGAGCGGCCATCACGGGCGGCGCCCAGCTTGGGGATGTCCTCATGGGGGCACGTCCTGCCGGCGAGACCAAGAGTCACCCTCGGCCCCTCGGGGGCACCGGGGCCGAGGGAAGCCGCCAGCGTCCGCGTCAAGCTGGCCAACAGCATCCAGGCTCCCCACGAGGCCGGGGGAGGTGGGGGGCCCGCTCGCCCAAAGACGGGCGCGGGGCGGCTCTGGGGCAGTGACCAGGTTAGTCACCTCGCCCCAAGGCGCTGCAGGGCAGCGCGGGGCGGGCTCTGGGTAACAATCCTGGAGGTGCAGGGCAGCGCGGGGCGGGCTCTGGGTAACAATCCTGGAGGTGCAGGGCAGCGTGGGGCAGCGTGGGGCGGGCTCTGGGTAATAATCCTGGAGGTGTGGGGCCCGCGCAGGGCAGTGTGGGGTGGGCTCTGGGTAATAATCCTGGAGATGTGGGCCCGCACAGGGCAGTGTGAGGTGGGTTCTGGGTAATAATCAGGAGGTGCGGGGCCCGCGTAGGGCAGCGTGGGGCGGGCTCTGAGTAATAATCCTGGAGATGCGGGGCCCGCACAGGGCAGTGTGAGGTGGGCTCTGGGTAATAATCCGGGAGGTGTGGGGCCCACACAGGGCAGCGTGGGGCGGGCTCTGGGTAATAATCCGGGAGGTGTGGGGCCCACACAGGGCAGCGTGGGGCGGGCTCTGGGTAATAATCCTGGAGATGCGGGGCCCGCGCAGGGCAGTGTGGGGCGGGCTCTGGGTAATAATCCGGGAGGTGTGGGGCCCGCGCAGGGCAGCGTGGGGCGGGCTCTGGGTAATAATCCTGGAGATGCGGGGCCCGCGCAGGGCAGCGTGGGGCGGGCTCTGGGTAATAATCGGGAGGTGTGGGGCCCGCGCAGGGCAGTGTGGGGCGGGCTCTGAGTAATAATCGGGAGGTGTGGGGCCCGCGCAGGGCAGTGTGGGGCGGGCTCTGGGTAATAATCCGGGAGGTGTGGGGCCCGCGCAGGGCAGCGTGGGGCGGGCTCTGGGTAATAATCCGGGAGGTGTGGGGCCCGCGCAGGGCAGCGTGGGGCGGGCTCTGGGTAATAATCCGGGAGGTGTGGGGCCCGCGCAGGGCAGCGTGGGGCGGGCTCTGGGTAATAATCCGGGAGGTGTGAGGCCGCCCCGCCCCGCCGCGCCCCGTCCCCAAACGGGCAGAGGGGAAGAGAGAGGCCAGAGGGGTGGGAGAAGTCGGCCGGCCCCACACGCGGGGTACCCCCCGGCCAGGCAGGCTCCCGTGCACCCCCAACTCACCGCCGCTCCCCGCGGGCCGCCGCTCCGGCCCCGCCACATCCGGACCGCGGCCCCGCCGCACCCGAGGAGGCGGGACACAGGCCGCGCCGGATGTGGAGCTCCCGGAAGTGAGGTGTAAGATGCGCCGCGCACTCTGCTCTCGCGAGAATGGCTGAGGCGCGCGTGGGCTCGCAACCATAGCGACGCGTCGGGGGCGGAGCGCAGGGAGCGGCAGGCGGGGCCTCGGGAGATTCGCCTGGCAAGGAGCGCCCTCTGCGAGCCCTGCGGTGGGCCGGGCGGGCCGCTTCGTCCCTGCGGCGAAGGCCGAGGTGTGTGGAGTGCGTGGGCGCCGCGCGGAGGAGGAGCCGCGCCGAGCCGGGGTTCGCGGCCGTCGGTGTCCGCGGGTCGCGGTGCGGGAGGTCACGGCGCTCACAGGCCTCCGTGCTGGGCCTCTCGCGGACACTCAGTGGCTTGCGAACTGAGCGTCTGCAGTCTCCGCTCGTTCCTGGAAAAGGGCGCAGTTTTTGCTCTAAGTTTTCAGAAATTTAATAATTTTGGCGGAAGGCTGAGGCTGTGGAAAAACTGGGCATGATCTGGTTGTGTTCCCTCGCCGCCGTCACCAGCGTCACTAGCAGTTGTGTCCTCAGTCAGCGTCCAGCCGGCACTAGTGCAGTTGTGTCCTCAGTCAGCGTCCAGCCGGCACTGGTGCAGTTGTGTCCTCAGTCAGCGTCCAGCCGGCACTGGTGCAGTTGTGTCCTCAGTCAGCGTCCAGCCGGCACTAGTGCAGTTGTGTCCTCAGTCAGCGTCCAGCCGGCACTGGTGCAGTTGTGTCCTCAGTCAGCGTCCAGCCGGCACTGGTGCAGTTGTGTCCTCAGTCAGCGTCCAGCCGCACTGGTGCAGTTGTGTCCTCAGTCAGCGTCCAGCCGGCACTGGTGCAGTTGTGTCCTCAGTCAGCGTCCAGCCGGCACTGGTGCAGTTGTGTCCTCAGTCAGCGTCCAGCCGGCACTGGTGCAGTTGTGTCCTCAGTCAGCGTCCAGCCGGCACTGGTGCAGTTGTGTCCTCAGTCAGCGTCCAGCCGGCACTGGTGCAGTTGTGTCCTCAGTCAGCGTCCAGCCGGCACTGGTGCAGTTGTGTCCTCAGTCAGCGTCCAGCCGGCACTGGTGCAGTTGTGTTCAGAGTCGCCAGCATCGGAGCCGCTCTCCTGCGTCATCTTCCTCGCAGTGGAGGAACGCATCTGTGGTACTGCTTGGCACACGCTGTCCGACTGCCTTTCTTTCCTTCTTTTTTTGACAGGCAGAGTGGACAGTGAGAGAGAGAGACAGAGAGAAAGGTCTTCCTTTGCCGTTGATTCACCTTCCAATGGCCGCTGCGGCCGGCGCACCGCGCTGATCCGATGGCAGGAGCCAGGAGCCAGGTGCTTCTCCTGGTCTCCCATGGGGTGCAGAGCCCAAGCACCTGGGCCATCCTCCACTGCACTCCTGGGCCACAGCAGAGAGCTGGCCTGGAAGAGGGGCAACCGGGACAGAATCCGGCGCCCCGACTGGGACTAGAACCCGGTGTGCTGGTGCCACAGGCGGAGGATTAGCCTAGTGAGCCGCGGCGCCGGCTCCCGACTGCCTTTCAACTCGAATGTTTCCGGCTTGCTTAGCTGCTAGGAGAGAGTTTGGTCTTTTCTGATCACAAGGGAATAATTTCCCCTTCTAAAAACACACATATGAGGAGAGTCGTGGATTTCAACATTGCTTTTTTCCTTTCTTTGGAAGGCAGAGAGAGCCTTGACACTCGCTTGTCACTGCGTTTGCTTGAAGTGCTGGTGTGGGATACTCTCACTGCCTTGTTCCAGTACCTATTCCTGCACGCATTGGTTATGAGGAAACAGGGCTGGAGTTTAATTTTATGATTCTGCACAGTTTGTGTTAGGGAGGACGGGTCCGATGCTCGAGGCCATGGTCCTGACAGTCCCAGTGTGCATGGCGCTCTGACGTCCTGTGCGCTTGTTTCCGGTCTTGGGCCTCCGTGCTGCAACTCTGGACCTCGTCCGTGTGCCCCAGAACCTTGGAATCTTCTCTGCTTGACCTGGGGGGGGAGGAGGGAGGAGTCAGGTGTGGGAGGGTCTTAAAGCCAGGCCCGGGAGGGTCCCAGGCTCCATGTTTCCACACTGCCCACCCCCGTCGCCCTGGCCGGGGCTCACCTGTGTGCAAGGGAAGCGAGGGACGCACTTTGGGCCTGTGTCCAGAGGAAAGGGAGTGGCTGCTGTCATTGTTCCTCCTGGTGACCGAACGCGTGCTGAACTGCTGATGCTACCTGAAGGGCCCTGAGCCCTGCTGAGGGACCCCACCCCGCACAGCACCCTCCCCTCTGTCCTGCCTGGGGGGTCCTCGGGGCCCAGTGACCTCTTTCTTGGGGTGAGCAGGAGTTGGCTCCCAGACTCAGGCAGCTGTTTAAACCCCCAAGTCTTAGGTTATGGTTGATGGAGTAAGGGTGGAGTCCTGGCATAATACAGTGTCGGGGGTGAAATCTGCCATCCCTGTCTGTCTACAACTCCCACTTCCCTAAAGCATGCCCCCTTCATACCTCATTCTCTATCCCATTGCCTTATTTTCTTCCTCATATTCCTCCATGTAGCAAATATTTATTGAGTGTTCTGTGCGAAGGAGGAGAAAGCTTGGCATTGTAGAGGCAAGGTCCTGCTTACAGGGACCCTAGTCCCACGGAGGAGAGGTCACGGCCATGGTGAGGGCGCTCACAGGCCCAGCGTGCTTGGTGCAGAGAAGCAGAGTGTGACGAGGTGGCGTGACAGGGCCCCTTCCCAGTCTGCACAGCCGTGCCTCCAGCCTTTCCCCCTGGAATTTGGAGACTCAAAGTTGGGACAGACACGTTAGCAGGGCTGAGTTATGCTTGTGGCCACCTGAATGGTAGACCAGTTGTCAGTCAAGTGCTTTTGATTCTATTTTTTAATACCTCGGAAGCAGCTAGGATTTTTAAGTTGTATTTTTATTTGTTGTCAGAGACAGCAGAAGCTAATTCTTAGATAAATTAATAAAAACATGCAAACAAAGCAGATACTTCCAATCCAAGCAAGCCCAGTCTCTTCCTAGCCTCAGTCCCACGAGAGTTGTTCAGCTGCACCGTGGCCTTGAATGCCGCATGGTAGAGTGTGCCCTTCTGTGCCAGGGCCACACCGTGAGTGCTGCTGGCACAGGCCGGAGCCTGGCTGGCTGGAGGTGAGGGTTGGTGTCCGGGAAGCTGAGGCGTCGCCTGTGACTCACTGCCAGGAGAACGGATTCACCACGCAGCGCAGGTCGAGGTGCGACTGGTCAGACCGGCACAGCAGGACTCAAGGCCCAGGCTACAAAGGCGCTGTTGCCGGACAGAACATTCCCAGGCCTGGGATGTGCAGGGTTTGAGCAGCTCTGGCCTGCTGAGTCAACCCTTTCTGCCCACATCTCAGACAGACTTTGCATGTGGTCAGCCCCACGCATGTGACCATTGGGATTTGCAGCTGTGCGCTTGCTCTGTGTGTGTGTGTACACACATGCATCTGTATGACACATCACATAGATTGAGAGTTCTTGTGTGTGTGCATGCATGTGAAAGCATGATACATCACACAGGTTAAGTGTCCGTTTACGTGCTCACACGCATATTCATACTACGTGATACAGGTTGAATGTGTCGTGTGTGTATGCACATGTGCATTGTCACGAAGCATCCTGCAGTCAGTGTCACTGTGCACGCATGTGTGTTCCTGATTCATTATACAGGCTGAGTGAGTGTGTGCCTGGTACGTCGTGCAGGTTGATGTGTGAGTGTGCGCCTGGTACGTCGTGCAGGTTGATGTGTGAGTGTGCGCCTGGTACATCGTGCAGGTTGATGTGTGAGTGTGCACCTGGCACATCATACAGGTTGATGTGTGAGTGTGCGCCTGGTACATCGTGCAGGTCGATGTGTGAGTGTGCGCCTGGCACATCGTACAGGTTGATGTGTGAGTGTGCGCCTGGTACATCGTGCAGGTTGATGTGTGAGTGTGCACCTGGCACATCATACAGGTTGATGTGTGAGTGTGCACCTGGTACATCGTGCAGGTTGATGCGTGAGTGTGCACCTGGCACATCATACAGGTTGATGTGTGAGTGTGCGCCTGGTACATCGTGCAGGTCGATGTGTGAGTGTGCGCCTGGCACATTGTACAGGTTGATGCGTGAGTGTGCGCCTGGCACATTGTACAGGTTGATGTGTGAGTGTGCGCCTGGTACATCGTACAGGTTGATGTGTGAGTGTGCGCCTGGTACATCGTGCAGGTTGATGTGTGAGTGTGCGCCTGGCACATTGTACAGGTTGATGTGTGAGTGTGCGCCTGGTACGTCGTGCAGGTTGATGTGTGAGTGTGCGCCTGGTACGTCGTGCAGGTTGATGTGTGAGTGTGCGCCTGGTACATCGTGCAGGTTGATGTGTGAGTGTGCGCCTGGCACATTGTACAGGTTGATGTGTGAGTGTGCGCCTGGTACGTCATGCAGGTTGATGTGTGAGTGTGCACCTGGTACATCGTGCAGGTTGATGCGTGAGTGTGCGCCTGGTACATTGTACAGGTTGACGTGTGAGTGTGCGCCTGGCACATCGTGTAGGTTGATGTGTGAGTGTGCACCTGGTACATCGTACAGGTTGACGTGTGAGTGTGCGCCTGGCACATTGTACAGGTTGATGCGTGAGTGTGCGCCTGGCACATTGTACAGGTTGATGTGTGAGTGTGCACCTGGTACATCGTACAGGTTGACGTGTGAGTGTGCGCCTGGCACATTGTACAGGTTGATGCGTGAGTGTGCGCCTGGCACATTGTACAGGTTGATGTGTGAGTGTGCGCCTGGTACATCGTGCAGGTCGATGTGTGAGTGTGCGCCTGGCACATTGTACAGGTTGATGCGTGAGTGTGCGCCTGGCACATTGTACAGGTTGATGTGTGAGTGTGCGCCTGGTACATCGTACAGGTTGATGCGTGAGTGTGCGCCTGGTACATTGTACAGGTTGACGTGTGAGTGTGCGCCTGGCACATCGTGTAGGTTGATGTGTGAGTGTGCACCTGGTACATCGTACAGGTTGACGTGTGAGTGTGCGCCTGGCACATTGTACAGGTTGATGCGTGAGTGTGCACCTGGTACGTCATACAGGTTGATGTGTGAGTGTGCGCCTGGTACATCGTGCAGGTTGAATGTCCCT